ATATATATATATCTATATATATATATTTTTAAGATATGAAATGAATGATAAAAGATAAAAAAATCATAACAGCAGCAAAAATCCTTATAATAGAAGACATCTATAAATCTAAATCCTGAAACATTACCTTAAAACAATGTAAAAATATTGATTTTTTGTATTTTTTATAATTTATATATATTCAAACTAGCATGAAATTCATGATAAGTTACATTTAGTGTTATTTTATATATTCATTTTTTTATTTATATATTAGATCATTTTATATATTTTTGTGTGATTTTTTCCCTTTATATTATATTTTAATATATAATTTTATTCTATTTTTTTAGTACGATTATTCGTATCATAAATATATGAATATGGAATTTTCTAATTTTAGTTATCCAATATTCAGTAATATAATTATGATTGCATAAAAATTACATCATCTTTTTAAATAAGTATATTAATATTCTCTTTCTGAATCGTATGATACCTTATAATATTTTTCTTTCAAATCCCTATGATAATGTTTTCTGTTACACATTTCATGTTGGTATATTTCGTCTTTTATATTTCTATTCATTCTTCTCATTCTTGGAAAGCGATTTCGTAAATAATTTCTTGATGTAGTAAACTAATATTAAAAAAATATATATGGATTATATAAATATAATTACTTGATGAATCCATTTTTTTTTTTTTAAATATATAATAATATTATCTGTATAAGACAAAAAAATTTTAAACAAAATTTTATTTAACTTTATAGATATAATAAAGTACTGTTCCTAAAAATACACTACTAAGTGTAGTTGATATTATAATATTCATATTAACAGGTTGAATATAAGTAGTTGTACTAAAGTACGAATAATTTGGATTTGAATATTTCATTAAATATTCTTTTTCTTCAGATTCATTGCATTCATTTTTGTCCCATGGATTATATTTATTTTTCAATATTTCTGTTATGTTACATTTGCGATTATTTTTGAATAAATCATTATATTCAATTGAGCATCTGAGATTATTTAACACTTTTTGGAAAGCTTTATCATGCTTATATTTTTCGATAATTTCATTATAATCATCAATGAATCCATTTATATCGTCGCAATCAATAGAATAATTATTATCTTCTGAATTCGGATATAAAATAGTTTCATAATGTTCATATAGATTATATAAATCATTCATTTTATCAAACACTGGTTTTTCTATATATTTTATTTCCGGAACACATGTATTATAAGATTCATCAGTTTTATTACTTTCAACATAATTCATAAAATGTTCAAAAATTACCTTTTGTTTTGTAGGAAAAAGATCTCTAATTTGTTCTCTAATATTGTAGTTAATATAGATACAAAATTTTCTGTTGTTACAAGAATCATTAGAAGACATTATCTTAAAAAGTTTTCTTATATTCTGACAAATATTAATAAAATTATCACGTTCTTCATTTTCTACTTGAACTGAACATTGATTAATGAAACAATCAATATCTTCAGAATTTTGTGATAATGTTGGCAAGGATTCAAAAATTTCCCTATAAAGGATATAATCTTTCCAGTTAATATACTAATAAATAATATATAAATAATGATGAATCCATATATTATAGAAATCTGAAAAAATAAATTTTATTCTAAAATTTTTCATAGTGTTAATGTAATATTAATTAATTTATATATTCCGAAAATTAATATGGTACCGTTTGATTTATTATAGCAGGTGTCATTATATTTGATCTAAAAAAAAAATTAATTTTATAAATAATGTCTCTATTAATAATTATTCATTAAAGAATCGAGTAACCATATACATATATGTTCTTTTGTTCTATTATGAATTTTAATATTTAATTAAATTTCCCCCATAGGACAGTTGTACTTGACTTATTAAAATATATCATTGTGTAATTATTACATTTGAGAATTATAAATACAAGTCTACTACATAGGAAATTTAAAATATAAATTAGTTAATATTGTATAATCAAATATTTAATATATATGTTCTAAAATATAATGTTTATACGATAAAATTATATTACTCTTAAGAGTCATACGAAAAAATCTGTGTCACCTTAATAATATTATATATTTTTATAACAATCAGTACAGCAAAAATATATAAATATGTATCATTCGTTCGAAAAAATGGAATCCTTAATATTAAACCACTAACTTTATATGATAACATAGCACTTCTTATATTATTAATTTCAATACAAAGAATAAAAATTGTATGTATAATTTATTCTTTGTATATTAAGTTAATTACAAGATACCATTATTTAATGATGTTAAATAAATATTATTTATTTGTGTAATATTTATTTATTATACAATTAAATATTCATGTACATTAATATTATTAAAAAAAAGTTAATACTGTGCATCAAAACAAATAGGAATATAATATTAGGGGTTCAGGTTTTATGGTTTAGGTTTAGGGATTCAGCGTTCAGGGTTCACTTTTTTGTTCGAGCAATATTAAATTTTGTTTTGAGTATTTATATATTTACCAATATTTTAACTGTAATGAGTATAATGTTAATTTTATATGTTATAATTTTAATTTGTATTAAATATTACGCATTAATTTATACTTAGAAGAAAGTATACTTAAAAATTGGAAACACTGTGACATTAGAATATGTTATCACACTGTATATGAATATAATAATATAGTTGGAAAATAGATTGATTCTGAATGGTTAATTTCACTCAATTTAGTACTTGTGAGATATTATGTGTAATTTTAATTAAGGGACTGAAAATATTGAAAATATTTTTATGGTAATATATATACTTACTGGAATAATTATTTCTCAACTCTTATTATTTTTCTTTTATATGGTGAACTATATATACTTATGAATTTATACGGATTGTTCATATTTTTAGAATAAATATGCGTCATATGAAATAACTGTACCATAATGTTTTACTCTGTTAGGTTATAATATATATTTATTCTGTTATATTTTTTATTAAAAAAATATGTACAATAGTTTTTAAGATATATAAATTTGTTTACATTATATATGGAG